ATGGTATTAATTGTATTACACCTGAAAAACATTCCTCTTCATTAGTTAATAAACCTATTGATGATATAGAACATATAATTTCATCTCCTGTTGGGACTTGGACGGTTGAAAAAAATGAGGATACACAATTATTATATAAAACAAGTTCTGATCGAAATAGTATCAAAGTTAAAAAAGTATTATTTTGTGATCAAAATATTGAAAACACAGGTAAATATAATATAATATAATTATACGTTTACATTTTAATTTAAAATAATCTAATAAATGTAAAATTTATCGTTCAAAAACTTCATTGTATGACGTATGATTAAATTGTAGAAGTATAAGTATTAATATTAATTTTCTTTAGTTTGCCATTGCATAAAAAAATAAATAAACCTATAGTTTTATCAAACCAATGTAATATATTCTATGTACCTACCCGTGTATTTACATTGGTAGGTATGTATTTACACATATTCTTTTATAAATTAAGATACTTATTTTTTTTTCTAATACTATATAGGATCATCTGGTATTACAGCTAATATTTTAAAACTGCCTCAAGATACTACAATTTTACAAAACCAGCCAAATATATCTAATGGTATGTGCACTGTTTTAGTAATATACTATAGTAAGATATAATATAGTTAATGATGCTATAAAATTCTATTTGACTAAAGATATTAAGTTATTCACAAATTTTTCTTACATCAAATTATATATGATACATATATGCCCACATTTCAACTTGGAAAAATTAACCTGCTAATATATAATATAATAATGATTTGACAGATTTTCAACGGTTTATTACTAACACTTTGGTAAATATAAAATATGACATTGGCAGCATTTTAAGTATTGTACAATCAAACAGTATTAATATTAATACATTGATGGCTAATAAAAATACATCAGCCAAAAATATCATAAATCTTGACAACATATTTCCTATTAAAAATCATGATGAATTAGGGTCATTGGAAATAAAAATTAAGACTGATGAAAACTTTAAAAATACATTGGTATTATACTTTTTAATTCTTATAATTTTCTTCTATTGTACAGTTGTCTTGTAAAATGTGTTTATTTTTTAGGTTACTCAATTATCAGTGTTAATAGATGTTAATGATCTTGGAAATAGTGTTCGAAGAATTGTTTCAAGAATGTTAAGTGATGTTTTGCTATCTAATTATTCGTTACATGGATTTAAGTCTAAGCTATGTTTTTCAGGCTTAAATACCTATCGTGTTATTATAGGTAAACATATTAAATTTAACTTGTTTGGTACAATATAACTAAAACTATTAAACAAATAATCACTATAAATAGTTGATAGTTATTATAATTAAATATTGAAATATGCTGCATTTTATTAAATTTGCTATATTTGGTTTTATTTAGCTAATTGTATACATCTGTCCATTTTCTTTTTTATATATTTATATTTACAATTATCCTCTTAAAATAGCTACAAACTAAAATTGTCTTTTATCCATAGATATAGATAGCCTGCAACGGTTAGGAATGTCTTATTTTATTAATACAATAAAAAAAAAAAAAATGTATATTATTATTATTGTATTTTGAATATTATAGATGCTATACGAGTTAACGTCAAGTACAGTGTTGTTCCTGAAAAAGAAATAGATAACTCATTAGGAATTTGGCTATCCCATGCTCCATTCCGCATTAAAAAAGTATCCCAAAAACAAGAAAAACTCTCAAGAAGCCTTTTATGAAGTTAATATATTTAAAAGATTATGTTATCATTATTATTATATTATTTACATTTTTTTAAATTCTTAGATTTGTATCTTACAAGTTTGCAGTTTTTATTATTTAATATTTACTATTTTAATGAAGTTAATATTGGGTATATATTATACTACTCACCAGTTATTATTTTTATTTTTGTGTTAGCCCA